GTGGCCGCTTTACACATTGCGCTGTATTTGTTATCCCACGTAACACAGAAAATTGTGAGTGGTGCTGGATCCGTGCTGGAGAATCTTTCTTGATGTAGAGATAGGCGCCGAATAAGATTCACGTTCGAACTCTTGACTAGCTTTTATTGGAATACTTGACTTACAGGATAGAGGGACTCACTTCCGTTTGTTTCACACAAAAACTCTTATGCACACAGTGTTGAAAATAAAAAAAAGAGGTAGTTTAGATGAAGTTGTTCGTGCATTTGGGTCGGACCAGTGCGTAGCAGGGAGTTCGGAAGTGAGTGATTAGTCCGGGTCTACTCCTCATTAGCCCCGTCAGGGTCTGCTATCGAGGGGTGGGGGAAGGGGGTGGCGGTGTTCTCCCGTTGGAATATGAGATTCGGTACCGACCTACGCGTCAGTTCGAAGGGATTTGCTCCTAGAGGAATCTCCTCCCAGCAGCGCACTGCCCCAGCCGGAACCGGCTCTAAGCTCCCGATGTGTGTGGTGGTGTTGGGCCAGAAAGCGGTGCAGTGTGGATGTGTGCAAGGGAAGAGAAGAAAACAAAGAATGAGGAAGGGAAGAAGCGCTCTGTGGCCTGTCCAACTATTTTTAATTTTTTTTTTTAATCCAACGGTTTTTAAAAAAATCCAACGGTTTTTAAAAACTCCAACGGTTTTTAAAAATTAATTCCATATAATATTATTGTTGAATGGAATCGAATGTTTCGTTTCCTGTTAAACTTGAAGGTTTCTTTCTGAGTATGAGCCCCGGTGTGCTCTCCGTTCCCCAATCTAATCGCTCCCTGCTTCGGCTATCAGCTCGCGCCCCGAGGGCATATAGTATTTCGCCAGGCGCCGGTAGCCTGTGCTGACAGCAGTCTCTGCCCGTCAGACTCCTCTAGTGCCCATTCGCGGGCAACAGATTTGGAACAGCCTGGCATAGATGGAACAGACGGCAACGCCCCTCACAATGCAGGAAAGCGGATAAGATAATTGTTGTGGCTGGCGTGTGGCTTGAAAACAGTTTGCACCGCTTTTCTAATTGTTTATGATTTTATGGAAACATGGAGATTAAGATGAAGAAAATTATACGACTCGTACATAGTTTGAATGATATTAAATTCTTGAAAATGATGCACGGAAAATCACAGTATTTAATATATGGAAGGACAGTTGTTGCCGTGGGTTGATTTATTGATGATTCTGGGCGCATCAACTAAGGTCATTAGTCCTGTAAGTGTAGTACATGCTTTTGCCTGAGGAGATGATTTCCCCCAATTGGGTGGCCGATCCGGCGTCAACCTACTCGCCGGCTTGCCGGATTTTCCCCATCCAGGTATCTTCCACCAACGGGGCAGCGCCCTAGCCGGGACAATAAGTTCACGACAGGTCTCCCGGCAGAGTGGTAGTGTAGGGCCTGTTAGTTTAAATGTGTGTAAGGCGGTAGAATAGGACAGGGAAGAGGAAAGAAAGTTCGCGCGCGGTCCGTGGCCCGTTTGTTGCTCCGGAATTCGTTCGGTGTTGATCGGAGCAGCCGACCGCTACAATTCTCCATGAGACAGCGGCTGAATGCATCCTCGCTATGTAGCTAGCGTCGAAAATCCTTCCGCCGTCGGGATTCGAACATCGCGGTCAAAGTCACTGCAGTGGCATCACTTGGTGCCCTGAGCCACCTCGTCTGGCGCCGTGTGGGCAGAGTGGGTGGATGGGTCGGGGGATGCCTGGTGGGTTGCGATTGAGGGCAGGGCCGACCGGTCCACGCGCGAGGCCACCGCTTAGAGGTGGCGCTGCAGCGAGCGTGGAGGCGGATCGATTCGGAATAGTGCTGGCAAAAAAGAAGGCGTGTTGGGTCGTGTTTCATGCGAAATTCGCGACACCCGCAGAATGAATCACTTAGCTCTTTGGTAATCGAAATCTGTTCTTAGGATCACAAGTTAAGAAGGCGAAGGACGTGTTGAAGAAATAAGTTAAGAGAACATCTAAACAATGGATAATATAACACTCTGTTTTTTTTGTGCGCAATACGTTGTAATACTAAAAAGTGTACTTAGAAATTGTAAAAAAGAATAAAGCAAAATGTGTCCAGGATAAATACAAAGAATGTTGAATGTGCAATGTTTTCCTGCATTTTAGAAGTAAAAATGCGAAGAGATGTTTTTTTCATGCATCACTAATGAGAACACGTGAATAATCATGATTACGTTAGCGGCTTTTTGTGGATAAGGATGGAGCTCATAAATGTACGTCCTTGCTCCACGCAGTTATTGTGAAAGAGAAAATTATATACGTGAATAGTTCACAGATTGTTCACAGTAAACGGGAAATCCCTGAACATTAAAGTTCATTTACGGGAACTCCCCGTCGTCTCCATTCCCGCTTCGCCTAGCCTTTCCGAACACAAAAACAGCTTTGCCACGACGCCACTCTTGGAGTCGCTTCTTGACTTCCATTCAGCGAGTAGGAATAGGCTAACTTGCCTGCAAAATACTTCTACCGAATTCTGGTCTTCACTTTGCATATTTTATTTACACATTCATTTCATGAATATTTTTTTACATTAGGGGCTAATATTGCATTTTGTAGTACTCGTAGATCTAAAAGTCGTCACCAAGCCATCGCCGGAAAGCAAAAATTCAGTGGATAATGTTATATACTTTCTTGGGATATAGTGCGTTTTAACGTTGAGGGTTCCACACTAATAATGAAATATGTTTTTCTGTAAGAATATTCCATTATGTATTAACAGTATGTACCACTCCTTACAGAATTTAGATTTAATTGTGAATTTATCTATTAAATAGCATACAGGTCGTGTTTCACACTCAGGACATAGTATCGCGCCCCTTTCTCTTCCACTTTGAGCGAGCAATCACGTTGTTGTGAAATTGGATTTTTTAAATACTAGTGCATTTTTTAAAGAACGTTTACATTAATAATAATGCAAAATGTTCACTCATTTTCTAATGGGAAATAAAAAAGTTGATACTTTAAAGTTTCTCTTCTTCAAATAATGTGTAAATTATTGTCAATTATATTTTAATTTTTCAGTATTCATATTTTTAATAAACACTCCTGGATTGTCAAGGCTCAAAGTCCGGGAAAAAACATAAACGCGATTCCCCTTGGAACAGGAATGTGGGTGATCAGTTTTTACTTTTTCGTATATGTACGAATATTACTCAGTATACAGGACGTACGTAATATATACGGAGTAATATACGTAGTACATAGGAAGTTATGTAATATTGCGACAAAAAACGGCGACTTTTCGCAACAAAAACTCGTATTGTGGGGTCCTGATACAGAAAAAATAGATAAATCATGTTCTAATATATAATAAATTACACCCTCTTACACGTTATGTAGTCAAACTCAAAAGTTTTCTGTAAACAAAAGCATCAAATTTCGCACTTACAGTAACGCTTAAACGCCAGTTTCGTAAAAACAGCTCCAAATGTTTCAATGAAATTTCCCATATAGGACGAACTTTTACTTTTCTATAATATTCTTGAAGTAATGTTTTGGTTCTGCCATCAGGAAATCGAAAAACTGACTAAATGTGAAAAAATGATGTTTAGCAGGCGGTAGCTGGCAGTTGGCAAGAGGATGGGTCCCTACCGAAAAGGTATTAGCCGAAGAAATTAGGAAACTACGAGAAAGTCTGCTCCATTCTGTAGCGCCTCTAGTTTCCTCGTTTCCTCTTATTTTTGTGCCGAACGGCTGAAGGCGAATGATTGAGGTCAAGGCAGCGCATTAGGCCATTAGGCCATTCAACTGTCGCGTCCGACAGGTTGCTTGGAGGCGGGGTGTCAAGGACAGAGCGTGGGAGAAGCAGCACATGAGCCCCCGGGAACAGCCCACGTGAGGCATTGGAGTCGTGGGGGCCCTTCATTTCCAATATGGTGTCGCAAACAGAAGAAAGCGACCAGGGTCTTCATTAATTCTAGTCATGTTCTGTTTCGGCAATTTGCTTACAACAATTTCACTTTTTTTTAAGTTCCCCGTTTAATGATTACTGGACTCTCACGCCAATTCCCGTGTTCTTACTGTGTACGTTGAATATTTCTTCTTTTAACCGTAAGACATTTTTACATCATTGTTCCTTCTGTGTTTTCATTGGCTCAGTTTAGGAGCATTTGATCTTCGTGCGTTATACTTGATCTGCAGTTCAGTCCCTTAAATAAGCATGAAATGTTCATTCTTTGGTTAATATCATCGAATTCTCTTCTGATCAGATCTCTGATACGTAAAATATTTTCCCAGAAGAATTCCATTGAATTCCAGTGATTATGTTATATATTTTGGAGGACTGGTAACTGCTACAAGATTAATACCTTTAATTGATCAAAACCTTGTGTCACATAAGAAATGTGAACAACAATTGAAGGCTGTACATAATATTAAAAACCCATTTCTTGAATATACAATATTTTGAATAAGAGACCTAAAATGCGAACATTGTCATAGGTAATACCAAGAGTGCTTTAGAAATTGTCGATAAAATCCCGACTCGTAAAGAGAGGAGGGGATTTATCTGAGAATTTCCAAAGTACGAGTGGTATTTAATGAGACTATTTCACGAGTGAAATTACGTCCAACAGTTTCAATACGCACCAAATATTGAAAATAACTGAAAACTATGTTAAAATCAAAGAGGTTATGTTATAGTATATACGCTGTGTATTGAACATCGACATAGCGATCGATGTATACTGCCTTCTAGGATCGATCTCTCACAGTTTATGAGTAGGTAGAAGCGGTAGCCAGTAGCCAATAAGTAGAAGCGGTAAAAAAATCGGATAGAAAATAAAAACAAACTTTTTTAAATACGCCGCCCTGATTGAGGCATTTTGTATGCATATTTAAACACAACTGGTTTTAATTTCACGAGTGGAATAGTCTTTTTTAAGTATTTTTTGGTTCTCACAGGTTTGGTATATTGTGGTTTCGGCTAGGACGAGAAACCCCGACAGGCATTCACGGAACATTTTCTTTCGTTTTCAGAAACGTGATCGTCCGCCGCCATGTTGCCAGATCCCGATGCGAACGCGGAGTCGGTGGCGACACCGGCGGAGCGCGGCACGACGGCCGACCCCACGGTCCTCGCGGAAGCCTCCAAGCTCTCTCCCCCAGGCACGGCGAACGCCGCGCTTGCGCCGCCGGCAAGCACGGCCTCGGCGCCACGGGCTTGTTCCTTCTCCACCCGCGCCCCCGTGGCACAGGAACACCGGCAAGAGGCCCTTGAGGAGCACCAACAGCCGACTCCACTGCCCAATCTGAACACGGAGTACCAAACGATCACTGCCGACGGGTTTCGAAACCATAACGCCAACGCAGCGGTCGACGTCGAGAGCGTCTTTCTGGAGACGTGTCAGTCCTCTGACGACAACTGCGTGCCAAGTAAAGAAGAGACGACTTCTTCCACCACTTCTGCGTCGCCAGACGGCCGTCGGCTGACGGACGGCTTTGATGAGAGCGATCTGCAGTACCTGGAGGATGAAGGGCCTGACGTAGTGGACTTCTTTAGGGTGCTCATAGGAGAGGGACGTCTGAAGCCTGGAGATTGCGGGGTGTCGCTGGATTCGAAGTGAGTTGCTTGGATATGCCACTGTACATCCGGCGATATTAATATCAATTTATTTTTGAAAAAAATTTCTTAGGGTAGGGTTTTCCAAAATGTTTCTTCCATTGACTCCTTTTAAAAGGATTTTCTCATCCACTCCTTTGAGTTTCTTTCTCTAATACACAGAGAACAAAATAATTATAATTAAAAAATAATTGAACATAAACGACTTGATAACAATTACATAGACAAAGTATGTAAAGAAAAGTTTTGAAAGCAAGTTCGTTTATTTTTTTTGGTGATAAATAAGATCTTGATTACACCGAGCAGTCGATACATATTCCAATCGACATATTAATCATCTCTGATCGCCTTTAAAATTCCGTCGACCCACAGGGTAATACTGACCCCATGCTCTAGAGCTTTCCTGTACGTCCCATTATACTGTTATACCGTCCCGCATACAACTTGCTCAATGTTCAAATACAAACAAATTGTAAATTTGCAGAAGACAAAATTGGAGAACATAAGAAGTAAATGTACCAACCTGAAAACTCTTTTTATTGGATTTTTATGAAGAAATTGATATCGTTAGGTTGAGTGAATCTTATATAGCATCTAAAAATACGCACCGCTAATGCTTGTACTTCATTGTTCATAAAAGAGTATTTTTGTCGGAACAACATATTTCTACTTCCCATTACACAATTAGCCCATTGTAAAAAAATATTTAAATTTTCTTACGTAAAAGGTTCTTGCGCGAAATGCTCGTGTGACTTACAACCACGCGCTGATAAAGATAATTTAGTAATTCTGCTTCTAAGAACGGAAAAACAATATTGTGGCGTAAAGAGGTCTGGGAAACGCAATCATGAGAGCGGATAGTGGGAAACTCTGAGAAGAAATGTCGGATTGCGTAGGGGATATTAAGGTCTAGCTTTGATTCATTCTACGATGTTTTGCCAAACTTGCTTGCCGATCTCATACAATTATCACATCATAAGGTCATAAATTACCAAATCTTAAAAACGAAAAGTTTACACGTCATTGCTTGACAAGTATGGTCAATCATACATTATTTCTCGAATAATTACGTATTATTTGAAACTGTTTAATTTTGAAAATTTGTTCTCTAGTTGATTGGATTAAGTGTTACTACAAATACCCAAAAGTATGCTGTTATATATATGACATGTGTATACATATAGAGTAATATATGTATATATTCCTAGGCCTGTTTTTTTAAACCGTTTGAAGTCATCGCGATGTAAACTGGCTACTTGTGAACAAAATTTCGCGCCGAAGCAGAACGTTTTTAATAGTGCAGTCAACGAGCGTTCGCAAACCACTTGCACTCTAGGCAAAGCCTTTGTGTCCGCTCTTCCACCGGGCTTTTCTCCTCCCGGCCTTTCTGCGGAGACCGTTCGCCCCACGCCCGTGTCGTGCCCGCAGGCCCGCGTGGGTGGACGACGAGAAGGTGCGCCTGGGGCAGCAGTTCGCGCAGAAGTACTTCTTCGGCCTGGTGTTCGCCGAGATGATCTCGCTCTTCCTGCTCTTCTCGTTACCAGGATCGCTGCACTCGCTCATCTTCTCGGGCAACTCGGACACGCCCTTCAAGGTAATGCGCTTGCATGTATATTGGTGCGATTTGTTACGAATTCGTGTTTTGACTTACGTCAAAATCAGTCACGTACTCAGGTAAAGGAAAACCACTCTAAGATGGATTGTCCGAAAGCTAAGTATGAAATGTACTACATTGAATCGTTGCTCGTTATTGCAACTGACTTGCAGTTTTCTGCATTTGAGTCGACAAATGAGAACACGTGCTACGTTCATATATTTAATGGTATGTTGAAAACGTAAAATTGTCTGTGTAGTTATGTGAGTGCAATTACATAAACGTTTTAAATAATGAGTAGGTACGTTTTGTTTAAATAATTATGTACATTTAATTGCGTATCTTGTAACTTTCACAATATATTGACTTGAATTGGCTTTGTAACCACGTTGCATGTTCCTGTAACGTTCACATCAGAAGAGAATATATAACTTAAGTCGAATCCCCGCCGTGTTCATAGTTCCAATCAATTGCAATAATTACCTTCTGGTAATGTCAACATCGGACATGCTATGTGCTGCGTAATTATTTGAAGGCACTGTCGTCTCTAATGCTCATTCCTTTACAGAATGTGTCAACAGAGATAAATAATAGTAACGTCATTTTATTGATTTAGAACAAATGTAGAAAGAGTTTCAAGATTTTAAACCCAGGTGGTAGAAGAGGTTTACAGTATAACAAACTGAACCTGCAACCTGTTATCCGTTAAAAAACTGAGTCCGTTATCGACGGTGTCTTGATTCCCTCAACTAAGTGTCTCCCACCAGCGGGACCCCGCCCCAGGATAAGCTCTAAGCTTCCGACATGAGCGGTAGTGTGGTGGATGTAAGAGTATGTGTGTGTCACCAAGAGGCGAGGAAGGAAAGATCGCCCACGGTCCATGGCCCGTTTGTTTGGGTACTTCTCTGGCATCCGCCTGGTGTTGGTCGGAGAAACTACTGTAAACTACCGACCACTACAATTCTGCTACAAACTACTGTAAACTATCGACCACTACAATTCTGCAGCCGGCGGCTAGATTTCTCCTCCAGACAGCGACTGTATTCGAACTAGCTACGTGTGTAGTTTAGCTCGTATGTAGGTGGTTTCGAAAATCCTGCCAAAGTCGGGACTTAAACCTCCGACCTCTGTCACAGAGTAACTGCAGTGCCATCAGATGACGCCCTGGGGCACCCCGTTCAGATTAGAAACTTGGCAAACACGAAAGGAGTAAGATTGACTTGTGCGTTTTAGAATACTTAATATATTTTAATTTAAGGGGGAGGGGGTACAAGAAGCCAATCTAACATTTTCCAAATTTTCTGTGTTATGACTGCAATTTTTTCATTATGTTTCTCTAGAGGAAAATATTTACATTACAATACATTTATAAATATGTAATAATTTGGATTTTCATTAAAACCTGTAAAAATGATGAAAATCGCAGAAGTATTTACTAGGCTGTCCGGGTGACGCCGCGTCCATGGTGAAGTTGCCGACGTTTCGGTCGCCATTCTGCGACTTCCTCAGGGCGTAATGCGCGGAGATGTGCTGCGCACGAGTTTAACTGAGCCCCATTTAAACTCGTGCGCAGCACATCTCCGCGCATTATGCCCTGAGGAAGGTCGCAGAATGGCGACCGAAACGTCGGCACTTTCGCTATGGACGCGGCGTCACCCGGACAGCCTAGTAAATACTCACTCCGGCCGCGGAAGCCTACGCTCTCAAATTGCAGAAGACCAATTATTTTTCGTACCCGACGTTCACCTCCAATGTTAAAGCCATAGATTACTTTCTGAATTAAAATTATCCAATTCAATTTTTGGATCTTTAAATGATGTCTTGGAAAATTGTTTTAAAAGATAAATATTGAGTAATTTTGTCAGAAGTAATTCTTTTACAAAAATATGTAACTACGAATCACCATATTTTCTTTAAACCTCTTGAAAGGGTTCACACGTTATATTACATGGCACAAGTATCATTTTCATGAAAACTTCCACTTCTAAAACCTCACATTTTTTGTGCTATTAGTAGTGAGTCAATGCATTCGCCTAGACGGCAGACGCGTCTGACGCGGCTCCAGACGCATCTGGAGGAGAATTCTAGCGGCCGGCTGCTCTAGTCGGTAGTTTTTCGTGGTTTCTTCCGATCAACACAAGCGAATGTATGTCGGAGCGGTACCCTAACAATCGGACCGCGGATCGCGCGTGATCTTTGCTTTCTCTTGTCTTTTCCTCCCAACTTACTTTCACACATCTACACTTAGATGCACTATACTACCACACTTGTTGGGAAACCAGTCGGGATATTAGTGCTTGTACCGGGTGGGGCGGTACTCTGCTGGTGGGCGATACCTGGACAGCGAAACTCCTCCATCCGACGTGTAGGGCGGAACCGGATCTCGTCCTCCAGCGGGGAACTTCACCACCAGCCCCATGATACAAACATGTACAACACTTACGGGACAATAGCTGTTGACGCGCCCGGAAATACAAATGAACCAATCAATCACGTGAGTTCTGCTAGTGTACTTGCAGTCCGCCTGCGTCAATGCCCCCCATCTCGGTCAGGTTTTCGTCCAGTTTCTCTGAGCAAATACGCAGATGGCCCCTTGCTTTGCTTCTGTCCATAAATGTAACTTCAAATTAACTTCTCCCCATAGTACGTTACCATAGTACGTACCATACGTTCCATAGTACGTCAGGCGCAGCTTTGAAGCGTGGGCGGTGTGCGCAGGCGTTCCGCCGCTACCTGTCGACGGTGAGCCGCGTGCGCGCGTGGTACCGCGCCGACCTGTGGGCGGCGGAGGGCGAGGCGCGGCGCCACCTGCGCGCCGTGCGCCAGCTGCACGCCCTCTACCGCCGCCGCCTCAACGAGCTGAACGGCGCGCCGGCCGACGAGCGCGCGCGCCGCACGGCCCTTCGCCCACCGCTGTGGACGCGCGGCGCCGCCGACGCCGTGCGTGAGGACTTCGCCGACGGCGCGCACGCCGCCGCCACCGCCGCCGCCGCCGCCGCCGGCTGCCCGTTCTTCACGTGAGCAAGCCTGCTTCTTCCTCTCACTCTTCACCTTTCTCTCCCTTCCTTTCCTCCGCTATTTTCTTCGTCAGTTCGCTTTCTTCGTCTTGGTCTTCATTGTCTTTTATGCCGCCTCTTTTAACCTTTTCTTCTTCTTCTTTTTCTTCTTAAACTTCATTTTCTTCGCTTTTTTCTTTGGCTTGGTTTTCACGCATTTTACCATCACTTCTATTTTCGTTTGTTTCCATCTTGTCGCATATTCTTTTTATTTGTCCTCTTTCGTCATATTTTTCTTCTCTGTTGTCTTCTTCGTCTGTGTCATTTTCAGCATCTTGTTATCCGCCTTAATACAGTAGAGTGTTGACTTTAATGAATCCTCATTACTTTAAACAGTAATGTGAGAATTATAATTACACAAAACCACACTACTGTGTGTTGTGGATATAATGCGATGAACAAATGACTAACGCTTAATTTTAGAAACCATCCCCACCAAAGTAGTTATATGTAATATTTTGAGCATTTCTTTCTTTCTTGTGTTTCAAAATGATTCAACTGAGTAAATTAAATTAATCGTTGATATCTTCCTTCAAATAGGTTATAATTTAAAACATTTAACAGCCAGTTATTGTGGAAAACTCTTCAAAGCTAGTCATGCAATTTATTTTGTAATTATCATTGAAAGTAAGAGGCAAAATGACGGCGAGATTTTTGTGCGACTTTCACCAGAGTTGGGTGAAGTTAAAAAGTGGTGAGTTTAACGAGTTGGAACAACAAATCTGGAGTTCGAAAAAGTGCACTATTGATCTTCGGAACTAGAATAAAATTGTAAGGTGTAGAATATTAAAAGTTATAGTAAAAGTCATATTGCTTTCTCGTCTTTTACATCTGATGCCTTTCTTTTTAACAAATTTATTACTTTTTCTACCTAATACATTATCCTTCCGTTTTTCCCTTATCACTCAAAATGTTGTCTTTAGCAAGGTTTACAACTTGTTTTTCATCCGTCCGGAAAATGTGCACATTCTCTCCATCGGTCTTCTAATCTCTCTGCTAGTTCAAAATATATGCCACATAGATTGGAGCGTTCTCTTCTGTGTTTATTTCGAACGTTGTTCAGTCACGTTATTGTATACTTGTCCTGCAGTGTCGTTCTACCGAGGCCGTTTGTACCTGAAAGTACATCGAACTTTTATCCGTGAATTTGGTTGTGCTACATTCACAGTACTAGTGTCCAAGACAGGTCGGTTGACACAATGCCTTCTGATAGCGATCTGAGATCACAGAAAAATGAACAGAACATTTTGTGGCCACTTAGGCTTGTGGTTCCTTTCTATGCGGCAAATCTGTACCATGGAAAACCGGCTTTGCGTCCTTTCCACTGGCTAGGGAACGAAGGATTTTCTTAACCCTTCAAACACTAAGTACATATTAATTATCGGCGTGCACGTTCTACTTTGATGTGTCCCGTTGGCGTTGCGCAGGCTGATCTCGTCGCACCACGAGTGGATCAACCAGATGGAGATGTCGGTGACGCAGTTCGGCTTCGTGGCGCTGGCCGTGACGTACCCGGAGCGCTTCGGCGCGGGCGGGGCGTCGGACGAGGAGCTGGACGCCTTCGTGCACCTGTGGCGGGTGCTGGGCCACCTGCTGGGCGTAGAGGATCGCTTCAACTTCTGCGCCGGCGGGCTGGACGCCGTGCGCAAGCGCTCCAAGGCCCTGGTGCGACGCTTCCTGGCGCCCGCGCTGGCGCAGGTCGACGCCTCCTGGGAGCACATGACGCGCTGCGTTGTCGAGGGCGTCAGCTACTACGTCGGCGGGATGACGTACGAGGTACGCGGCTGCCGTCGCCAGCGATTGGGTAAAGGTTTCATTTGAATGAAAAGGAGCGAACGATTCGGTTAACGGTTCATTATAATGAAAAGGATAAATTCCGTGGTGCAGCAGAGATGTTGTGGTAATCCTTCATCATAACATTTTTACGAAAAACCTTAAACCACCTTGCATCGTTATCTGTTGCCAAATACATCATGAATTGTCCATAGCTCCAATCTCTGAATTTCTTTTAATAAATGAATCATTTTACTCCAAACTACTGCTCCTACCTTGCACCCCTATTTTCAACCTTGGCAAATCTACAAATTTCTGACTCAGAATCTGTTCCCGCTTCTCTAAAGGCGATTTTCGATGACCATAGACATTTATACACACTCAAAAATAAAATTAAATCATGATGAATTTATTGAAAGCAGTTTAAGGTTAAATTCCAACAAAACAACATTCAAAATAATTAAACTACATGTATAATCACTATCAGGCAAATGTTACAGTTAGTTAAAACAAAAATAGCAAAAATTAGTATAAAAATCCCAAATGTTAAGATAGTGTACCAGCCCAACTCCTTGAAAAGCATGATCTGCTGAACAGGAAAGAATTAAAAAAAGTCAATATCAAAATGGATAGTTGCGGAGTGCAAATATGGGATTCCAGCGGTATCTGAGCTCGGTATTTTCTGATATCGAGACATGCTCTAACGAAATGAGCTAAGAAATTTGCAAATATTTGAACACAACGGAATTCCAACCAAGGACTTTCTATTATTCAGAGATATGCTCTAACCAACTAGTTCTTTACAGTACAGAGTTTTTCTGTAGAATAGTGCATCTGTTTGGATAAGGAAGGTCCAGGGCTCGAAACATGATGGAATCAAGTATTTGTGCTTCGTTACAACCATTATCTCTACGATTATGCGGTGCATTAGCGATATTTCACAGTCTTGCAACATTTCTTTCTAAAGGAAAACTTCGTCTGAATCAACTCTTTCCCTACAATGCATGAATCATTCTATTTCGTTATTCTTCACACTTTTTGCCATTTTTACCGTTAATCCTTTACTGACGTACACTTCCCAGACTACTAGAGTAACAAAAACCAAAGTAAGTTTTCAGCAGGTTTTATCGGAGTTGTTCAGTTTCCCGTCACTCCTTCCCCCATTTTTACGTCATTATTTACCTTATCCCTACCGCTACTCAGATCACACATGGATTTGAACGACACAGTCTCGGAAGAACCCCTAAATTCCAATCCTACATGTACCAATCGTGTAACTTGATGTCATTCAGCACTCACGATCTACTGGTGGAAAACTGATCATTCTTCCAGGACATTCAAAGAAAAATCTCAAAAATATGAGTTTGGGGTTTTTGAATCTAAAACACGATTTTTGAAGTTTTAAGGCACCTACAAACGTGATCAGTAAGTCAGTGTAAGTAAGTGATCAGTCACTTTATTCTTCTTGGAAAGAAGAATTCATTGATGTTAATTTCAGAGGGATTCTTCCAGAATATTTTGGAATAATATTAAAAAAACATTTTTGAGAATTTCAAGGCACCTACAGCGGTAAAACGCTACGATCAACTATTCTGTCTTTCCATACATGAATAGTTACGATTTGATTTATGAGATTGACGATACTTTTGTAATGAATCGGTTTTCAAAAAAAGTGTATTTCTAAAGATACTTTTTTATGTATCTTTCTATGTCGGATGATGCACGTTACTGTACCATACGAGCCAGGAAACTGTACTTTTATCTACTTGGCTGTCCGGGAGACGTCGCCACACAGGTGCCAACGTTTCCGCCGTCATGCTGCGACCTTCCTCAGGGCAACTTGCCCTGCATTTCGCCCTGAGGAAGGTTGCAGCATGGCGGCGGAACGTTGACATGTGCCTAGAACGCGACGTCTTCGGGACAGCCAAGTAGATACAAATACAGTTGCGTGGCGCGAATGCCTATGCTTCAAATTATGTTTTCTAATTACGAAGGTGCATGCGCCACTTATTGTTTTTATCGTGAAACTAGCCGCGCGGGGCGATTCGCTAAGCCAGTCGGCAAATGGACAGAAGTGACGAGTGGGGCGTGTGGGTGCAGGTGGCGCTGCTGTACCTGTGCGAGACGGTGGACGTACCGGCGCCGCGCGTGCTGCGCACGCTGAGCGCCCAGCAGCGGCGCGTGCACCGCGTGGCGGCGTTCCTGCTGCGCTGGGCGCTGCGCGTGGCGCCGCTGCGCGCGCTCTTCAACTGGCTGCTGGAGCTGGGCATCAAGCGCGCGCTCGCCGCCTCGCCCGAGTGGCTGCGCCGCCGCGAGGCGCGCGTCTACGACTACGAGCGCGGCCACCGCCCCGCCGCCCACGCCGCCCATGCCGCCCACGCCCACCACCCGCCGACAGGTGAGACGCGACGCCCTCCGCTGGAGAGAGCGTTTTTATCTACTCGGCTGTCCGGGAGACGCAGCCTCCCGTTTCGGCCGCCATGCTGCGACCTTCCTCGAGGCGACATTTTTGCCATGAAGAAGGTTGCAGCCTGACAGCGGAACGTTGACATGAGCCTAGTCGCGACGTCTCAAGGCATCAACTGTCACTGCAGTGCCTTTGACCGGAAGGTCCTGGGTTCGAGTCACGATGGTGGCAGGATATTCGTCACTAGCTTGGCAGCTAGATCGAATTCAGCCGCTGTCTAGACGAGAGTTCTATCGCCTGGCTGCTCTGATCGGTAGTTTTCCGTAGTTTCTCAGATCAGTACCAAGTAATTGCTGGAGCAGTACCCTAACAAACGGGCCATGAACCGCGCGCGATCTTTTCTTCCACTTGCCTCCTCCTTGCCATATCCTACCACTTACATACAATTATGCTACCACGCTTGCTGGGAGATCGGTCGGGAGCTTAAAGCTGGGGCGATGTCTCATAGGCGATGCCTGGTTGAAGAAAACCCCGTTAGCCGACGGTAGGTAGGCACCGGATCACGCCATCCAGTGAGTCAAGATCACTGCCAACTCCTGACCAAAACGTGCACTACATTTACGGGACTAATAACCTTAGTAGTCGACGCGCCCGAAATCACTAGCAACCAATCAACCTCTCCAGGCGTGTCAACTAAGTTCATTACTCCACTAAGTGAAGTGCAGGTTTTATCACGGTATGAGGTGGTGATCTTTCCTTGTTGTGTGGTGAGATCCGGCGCCGACCTTCATAGTAGTTTGCGGGGATTTCTCCTTCCAGTTATCTCCCATCAGCGGGGTACCGCCCCAGCCGGAACAAGTTTTCAGCTCCCGGCTGGTTTCCTGACGTTATCCTATCTGCGCAAAGCTACGCATGCCATCGTTCGTTCCCAGCTGTCGCGGCGTGAGGAGTTGATTGGTTCTTCAAATGTGTTAAGGGATAAGACACTGAAGAGTAATTTGTGGATGTAGTGTATTTGTAAACTTATTCATGAGACATTTTCGCCACAGATTGGAAGACGACACGTTATGCAATGATGTATTTCGGGAAGTAATTTGCTTCAGAACGTGATCCACCAAAAACCATTTTTCCGGAGATTCTACTAATGGTCCATGTGATAAGCGTGACACGGAACAATGAGAATTTTCCGAACTTCGATTATTCACCGCCCACTCCCAGATTTGAACAAGCGAACTGGACCTTTGGAAGGAAGTGTGCTAACTTCATACCCGTGTATGTACCCTTCGGAAATCGCGTGTGATTAAATAGTCATTTGCCGATGCTTGGCATCCAAAGACTCAATTAATTCCATCGAGTAATACTTGTTTCTGTCAATATTTTTAGATTTTTTCTTTATAATTCAAATTTCATATTATTATTCAAATTACATAAAGTCAGAGTTGTATGTTAACCGTTTCATATCCGAAATCTAAACAGCTTCTTCTAATATCTAGTGTTTGTTTTGTTTTATATTTTAGGTATAAACACACAAACAGTTCAACAACAATTTCTTCACTCTTGTTTAACTGACTCCCTCCAGGGATGCGTCAAACACATTTAAGACGAAAAAACCTGAAGTGTGCAAATTACGACGTACTTCGGTTATCAGGCGCACGTGCAACCCGCGAAACATTATTCGCCTCATCACACTTTACCATCATACATAACTCGAAAGCGAAGCACCCTAGACCTGAAAAAGCAACGGATTGTTGTGTTCCTGCTATGAATATAGGTTATGTTTTCTACACCATAATCCACAAAATGAGATCTTTATGGACGTTCTATTACATTTTTACGGTCCAGTCACCCTGCGGCATGAGTTGCCAGAGACACTACAAGTTTGGTACCAGTGTAAAGCTATTTTTACTTTTAAAGTAATGATTTTTTTTAAAAAAAATAGCAATATTTTGCGAAACATTATAAGTGTGCTCTTATTTTACGTGTTTTGGGGATTTTGCTCTTCTGGTTACTCTAGATGTGCCTTCGGTAGCTCGTTGGATAACGTGCTCGCTTTCCATGGCGCAACCCGTGTTCGATTCCCGGCCGGGCCAAAATTATAATTGTGCTCTTTCGTTAGAAATGTCTCAGTATCTACGGCTGTGACAATGAGAAAGTCCATCCTAAGGTTATGAAGACCAGCATGTACGGTGTCGAAGGGATGTCTTCGTACTAACCACACGAACCCCTTTTCCCATGACCGAGAGGCTGGGCCACCGCTGGTCGGCCAAGGCTCGTATCCGGCTGTCGAGCCAAAGGACAGGACAGTTTAGCTATTTAGAACGCCCCGTTTCAATATGTAAAGAAGGCATAATACGCTGCTGTAATGTTTAACGCACTATATGACGTCGTAACACCCGGATTAAGAACTGCGGGAATAGGCGGTGAACATTTGCGGGAATATTGGGGAGGACATTTGGGAAAATGTAGGGCAACATTTGGGGAATATTTCAGGGTACATTTAGAGGAACACTTTCGAGAGAGTTTGGGAAACATTTGGATGAATATGTTGGGTGACATTTGGTAATCATTTGGGCATATTTGGGGGAATGTTGTGGAAACTTTTATGATTATTCGAGGAAACGTGTAGGGTCTCATATGAGGAACGTACGGAGATACATGCGAGATTACTTTTTCTTATTTATTCATAAATAATATTTACATAGATTACTTACAACCTAGCTAACAAAGTATATACGAACTAATCGAAATGCAGGTTGTCTTACATCCTAACTTGGTCTAATATGGTGGTGAATATGCCTACATTATTTTAAAATAATGATTTACAAACTGTGAACTGTTTTGCACAGTTGCAGCTAGTTTTATTTAATATATTTTTTATAATATAAATTTTTGTTCAACTGTAAAAAGAACTTACCAATTAGTGAATCTGTGGTTGTGAAATTATGTTTCCGGTCGCGTTAACTGAGGCCTCGTTGTCCTCCTAATTGCAGTGGTTGATGTTTTTATCACGAGACGAGGTGGCGATCTTCGCCGGCTTAATAGTGAGACCCGGGGCCGACCTACATGTCGAATTCATGGGTTTTCACTAACCAGATATCTCCCCCTGGCGGGGTACCGCCCCATCCGGGGCAAGTGCTAAGCTTCAGACATATGTGGTGGTATAGTGCATGTTTGTGTAAGGTGCGATGATACGACGAGGAAGAGGAAGGAAAGATCGCGCGCGGTCCGTGGCCTGTTTGTTAGGGTACTACTCCCGCATTACGTGGTGTTGATCGGAGAAACCACGGAGAGCGTCCCAGCACCGAAGCCGGTCGTTTGAATTCTCCTCCAGGCAGCACTTGAACTCGTCGTAGCTATAAAACTGACGTATAATTCCGAAAGTTGGGCTGAAAGAAGAAAATAACACGCATGTCGTCAAAACTAAAGTTGATTTCGTCAAATTTAATTTCATCTCCATTAGTGTCATTAAAAATTCTTCTACGTGCTGAACTTCGCTCAGGTGCAAGAAGTTGCTCTCATCTAATGTAAGTTGAATCGAAAAGTGGAGGCGACAAGCTAATATTGAAACTAACGAGCTAAAGGCATTTTCCGGCTGAATGCGCATTAGTTGGGAGACTTCTAACGCCTTCCTAATAAAAGAAACTTGTCAATCACAGACCATGTTTCCTGCTGATAAAATAATTGCAGAAATGAACGAATATCAAAAAGCTTCTAATGGTTTCGTCTTCCCATTGCAATCAGTAGCTTCTGTCATCAGACACCCTTGATTTCTCTGTAATTACTGCATCCCAATGGTCTCATCCCATCGTAATAGGCCATGTACCTCTTTTTACATCTGCTCCTCCCTCTGCTCCCCTCCCACATACACACACAAAAACGTTTCCATCCAAAATTGTCATCAAAGAAGCATTGCGTCTTAACGTCTGTCCCAAAAATGTTTCTTTCCTCCAAGACATTTGTTAACGTTTGTTATCACTATCTTCTTTAATCCTTCCACGCTGATTTTCTTCTCTTTTCAGCTTATTTGTATGATTCTCATCCACATTTCCAGTTTCGGCTTGCTTTGTTTCTCTTTTACTAGCAGTTCAACTTTTGCTTTCATATATGAGTGGTTTGAAAAATGTTATTGTTATTTTATTATGTAAATGTTTTTGCTAATACAAGTACATAATAAATGTTACAAAATTCTAAGGTATGCAGGGACGTGGAAGACTTCATCAAAGACACAAACGAACAATTTCTTAGTGAAAAACTGTGAAACACATTTTGAATAACAAAAAAATTAATTTATTACCAATTTTTTGGGTTGGACATTACATACCAAGGACACAAATTGACTAATTTTGTGAACATTCTATTTCATATTACTAGTTCAAAGTTGTCATGTTTTGATATTGAACATGACAAATAACATAAATACACCAGAAAAAGCAATTACACAGGGGAGGATCTAAAGACAAATTTGCTGGGGAGTATTTGAATGTCTTTTTATATAATATAACATAACATAACATAATATAATAAATTATAATATAATATAATATAATATGATATAATATAATATAATATAATATAATATAATATAATATAATATAATATAATATAATTATAATATAATTTTAATATTTAATGAATACTTTATAGTTTTAAATTGAAAATGGTAAAAAATTGTTATTAAATCATTAAATTCAGAGCAGCAAAACAATGAAGGATTATGGTATTATATTTTTCATTCTATCATACAAATGTTAATAGATAGAATTTAAATAAAAACGCATAATATTGATTTACAAATTAAACAGTTGCGTATATACAAACTATATTGTCCAGGACTGAAGATAGCCGACAGGATGTCACAAAATCTGTTTCAAGTCTCTTCTACTTTTTTTTATTGGATTTCTTTATCTTTTCTTCTTATTCTTTTCAGATATTTTCTTTTTCTCAAGTGCTTATTAACCGCGCCGACTCCAGGCGCATGTAAGCTATCCATGCCCTATTCTTTTGTTTCGGGCGTACTGTAATTGCTCAAAATGTCACAACAGGCTACGATCTCTCGCTTGGCACCTAGAGAGAAAAACCTTCCTCCGTCAACATTGTTTCCGATGCGTCGGCCACACTCCAATACGTGGAAGTCGCCGAAGCACCGCTTGTCAAGCGGAATTAGTAAGAGATACGAGCTGTAACAGGCTTCTGGAAAGAGTCGAATACACTTTCCATACGCACCATTGCAGTGCACTAGCCTACAATCCAACGAGAAACAGGATTCCCATTTGTAACTAAAAGGCTAAGGACAGAGCGCGCGGTCATTTTTTCGATACATTTTAGACGTTTCTATGATTTTTACTTTCCCTTACACATACCTATATACGGAGTATTATACGTAGTATGTACTCCGACAGTTATGTAACGATGAAGAATATCGATTTTCAGATTTCAACAGAAAGACACGTTTGGTGATCACCTGATACCGAAAAAGTAGTTGTGAAAAAGTGAATGTGCTAAAGCACACGAAGCTTCCCAGACATTTTCACAATTTTTTTAAAACGAGCTACAATTTTTTTCTTTAAATTTCTTGTAAGAATAAAGTAAAATATACTTATAAAGGTGGCTTAGGTCCGATATTCAGGATTAACTCTAAATTTTCGAAAATGTCAAAATTTCAATTTTTTTCGGGCGTCTTCCTACAACCACAAACTCGAGGATAGAGATTTTCCCTTCAAATAACATTTGTTCTCTGTAAGTTCTTCCATTAAGGTCGTGAACATTTTTTTTAAAATTTTTTTGAAAAAAATAAGTTTTCGGGCAATTTCCGAGCAATATGTGCAATTTTAAAAAAATTACAAAAACAGATTTTCTCAAAAACGGTTCAATTTTTTCTTTAACCTTTTATATAGATAGTGCTTAATGTTTATAAGATGACATAGAGGCCATATTGCTCTATTCTTTTGTTTTTTGAAAAATTACAAAAATGTAATATCTATGGCATGTCTCTCACGTCGTTAATATTTATACTAGTGGCAATTTGTTCACGTTATTATATTTATGAATACATGTGCCTCAAATGATGTCCAAAAGTTTTTCGAAAACACAACAGTTTTCTGTGAAAAGTAGCTCAAAATTCCGCATTTTCAGAAACGCTCAGACGCCATTTTCTCAGAAATGGGCCCAATTTTTTTCTTCAAACATTTCGAATGGATAGTACTAATTGCACTCTTTAATATGACGTAAATTTCATTTCGGGGTATTTTTTTGTTTTGTTTTTTAAATTACACAAATGTAATTTCTTTGAAAGATTTCTCACAATGTTGTTATGCACACTGTTGTATTTGTGCGTTAAAGAGCATCAAATGACTTCGAATAAAGTTTTTCGAAAACTTAATCGTTTCTGGAAAAAAGAGCTGCAAATTTCAAATTTATAGTAGCGCTTAAGTTTGTTTTTTTAAAAGGTCCAAGATTTTCAAAGAAAATAACCATTTATGACAAGGTGACCATGACCAACGAAAATAGAAAACTAATACGGGAATGTCTAAATCATTCTGATATGATTTTATTTCTTTAAATGATTATCCGAAAATATTTTTGCAGAGTTAAAAGATTATGTAATACTGTACGACAAAATGGCAAATTTTCAGCAGAAAAACTTTTCTTATTGGCTCCTTATTACGAAAATTTTCTCAAAAAATAATATTCTCTGATCGATCTGGCTGATGTTGCGGTCCCTGGAATTTGAAACTGATATTTTAATATGTGGGAGTACTTTATATGAAGCACCTGGGACCTTTCACAAATAATTTGATTAATTTTTTGAAAAATATTTTTTTAAATGACTCCATCATTTATTATTATTTTTTCACTTCATACTGTGAAAGACATTTAAGAGAATGGTACTGGTTGCATGTTCATTGAAAACCCTGAATGTTTTTGAAAATTAGGATCAAAATTGAAGATTTTTCCCTTAATGAAATCTTTTCCTTAAAGATAGATTTTAAAATAAGACCACGAACAACTTTTTGAAAATTTTAGTACTTTTCATGTTGATTGTACACCAACCTGTAGTAAGAAAATGTCTACAAGAATTTATGTATTTTGTATTATAAATGGTATGTAATTGAATAGATCATGCCTAATTACACTTTTAATATTAACATCACTCACATTTCAGAGATTTAATTTTAATAAATTCCGTAAACGTTCCTTCATAAAATTTAAGTTTCCTTCATAACAAGATAATCTTTTTAGCTATAAGGTTATTAAAAGTGTAAGTGGATGAGTATTTGATACCGTAACAGAATTGTATATTTCTTTTCAGAACTTTAAAAACTAACTCTCCTAATTATTGAGAGCTTACTGTTTAACTGTTAGCCAAATTGCAAATATGTATTGAGCCTTATAACTCTCATAGAACTTAATGTTGGGATCTTTAGAATGTTAGAAACTTAGGTATATTTTTAAAATTAAAATTTAAAAAAATTCTTTCTTAGTTGTGTTTGAAAACAAAATGGGTTGGACAGATTCTCATATACTAATGAAAACATTAAATAGTAAAGACCACATTGAGGATGCATATGATAAGTCTGGTCTAACTAAAAGTAAATACAGAGCTTTTAGAATAAATTCTGAATTTAGTTGATTGCAAGAACATTTTATTAACACTAATTGCTACATTGATTTACTAATTACTTCATCTATATCTTCATAAAGGCTCATTTAATTGGTAAATAAAAATCAAGATCTCTTATAGTCCTTACATTTGTCAAATCAATTTCATTTATAGATTGTGATGCCTAAAATTAATGTAATCTGACTAAAAGACCATTTGACCATTAATTCATTTATTTTCATTTTATAAAAATTATGGTTACATGCATTAAACAAAATGTTAAAATTTAAAGAGCAAGTTAATCTACCTATAAAAGTATGTAAATATTTGATTACCAAAGTAAGTTGCATCAAGCTATTCAATTTTTAAAATGTATGTGATTGTATAATAGGATGTGAAGAAGTTTACTGTTATACATTATAACTAATAATACTTTTAAGTGTTAATATTTAAGCAATGTAATATAAATTATTGCAGACAGAATTCACTGATGACCTAGCTATTAAAATGTGTCTTAAAATAAATCAATTACAAATGTACTGAGTGTAACACTACATATTGATCCAATAGTTCTATCTCTTATAAGTTCATGTTTGGAAGATGGAAACAATGGGATAAATTGTTTAATTAATCTCTAACGATATATTCAAAAAAATGTGGATTGGCATTCATCATAGTAACTGGTTAATGATTACTTATAAAGATTTTGTATATGTCTGTAAATATTTGGCTGATATAAGTAGCTTACTTCAGAGGTAGAGCACATCCCTTGTTGACTGACTTTGTTAACATAATATTAAACAATGAGAAAAAAAGTGTATAATTCTTCAGTCATAATGGAAGAACTCCATCTGGACCTGCTCCTGTTGACTAATCAAATTTGTTTATCTACTAATTGAAGGTACTGAAATTACCATTGAATTC